TCACATTTCCACCTTGGTCCCTGTTAACATCACAACTGGACAAAGGGCACAGTCTTCACTTGGGCCAGTGGCGTAATAGATAACGCGTCTGACTTCGGATCAGACGATTGTAGGTTCGAGTCCTGCCTGGCTCGACCATAGCTGGCAGCTTTTCGACACATGCAGGGAGACTCGCTCGTGTAAAGCAGGTATGTACAGCTGGTGATTTTGTGGTCAGATCTCGAAGAGCTGAAGTGATTGGAAATGAAAAGTTGTGCATGAGCAGCGTGAGATGTATTCTCATCCGTTCATTCACAGTTTGGTCGGAATAACGAGGTGAGGCTGGATAAACTGTAGCCTGACCAGGGAATGTTGTGGTAGTGGCACAGACATTTTTCTTTTCCTTTGTATCAGTTAGCAGCCATTTCGAATGGAGAATTGGTCCTTTCACTGTCTGCCACAATATGTGTCTCTATTTGTCTCACTCTGACTCTGTGTATCCACCTCACCCGCTTTCACACTCTCCGACACTCCTTTGTCCACATCCCTCATTCCCCATTTCTGCTTTTTGAAAAGATCACCCTCATTCATTTTTACTCCAACAGTAAAGATATCGCCATAATCTTATAATTGTTGTGGCATTGTTTTTTTTCTGGTGGGTTAGGAATTCTATTTTGAATTCTGAAGATTCACAATCTTTTGAGACAAGAAATGACTCCTTACCTCAGTTAAATCAGACAGCCACATTATCCAAGGAATGTCAGCCCAGTACTAGACACTCCACTCTCAAAGTGTCTCCGAAATTCAGACTTTCCAAAGAGCAGAAATGGGAAATGGGGGATGTGGACAATGGAGTGTCGGAGAATGTGAAAGGGGGTTAGCTGGATACGCAGAGTCAAACAGAGACAAATAGAGACACATGTTGTGGTAGACACTGAAAGAACCAATTCTCCATTCGACATGGCTGCTAACTGACAGAAAGGAAAAGTAAAAGGCAACCACTTAAGCAGAGCCTTTGACCACCTCATGGC